CCCCAAAACCCCAAAACCCCAAAACCCCAAAACCCCATACAATTCTGTCAAGATTGAAAATGAAATCTTTACTCCATAAACGATTCCGAATCAGACCGCCTTGTAGTCCTTCTCCTCTTTATGATTTGATATTGAGCTGCTTTGTGGCCTATTATTGCACTGATAATTATAGAAATAAATCCTAAAACTGTTATAGTTACAATAAGTTCGAGACTCAATGAGTTGCTATATTCATCACTGTTTCTTTCACTAATTAACATAGTATTTTTAGTCACAGTGCAAACACTGAGCTGGTCTTCATCAGCACTGATCTTTGAAATGAAGGAATTGAAGTTATCGTAAAGGCATGATGTCTTTTCCTCACATTCTCCTCTGAGCTTCAATAAATTCTTGTTATATTCGACTGATACTACGTAACCTCTTTCAGTATCTTTGGCTAAGTGAATGAGCAATTGGGATGCAAATTGTGGAAGTTGAGTATGCTGGAACCCAAGGTGTCTGGAAATAACATAGGTAGTTTCAACTGTCCCAAAATAAAGTGCTAGCTTTATCTGCTCAAAGAGGTCTATACTCGTGTCTTCAAATTGCTTTCTCCCGTCTTGAAAGTATCTATATATTATTGATTTTTGAATAAAGAAAAATTACCTTCCAAGATCTGACAAGAATCCATGAACAAAAATTTTACGAGATAGTTCATAACTCCAATATTGTTCTAAATATTCAAATCCAAAAGCAAGAAGTTCTTTTGTTACAGACTCTAAGCCCTTCACCTTATCCTGATTGAAATCTCATGCATAAATAGTGTCAATATTTGGATATATTTCATGAATAGTAAGGTTATCATTACCCATGAACGTTCTAAACTTAGCAAGAGCATTTGAGTATTTCTCTTCAATCTGTCTCATCCATTGGGCATCTTTAACTTTCCTCTCGTTCATTTCATATATCTCTGGACACCATTCGCCCATAAGGACTGTTTCTTTTTGAAAATCCATTGCATGGATAGGCACAGTCTGAAAATTTAATGCCATAATATTGTTCCCAAGAGCAATGATCTCTTCTTCTATGATAGTATTGTCACCTGGAGGAACTGCTAATGCAACTTGACTATCATTCAATGGACCTCTAATATTCGGTGGGAAGAGAGCTTCTAATTGAGCTTGAGCTCCCATTAAGGTCATGTTATGGTTAGTACTCCTTACATTAACTTGCAATGGACTATACAATTTCTCAACATCTAATTTTTGGGTGTAAGTATTTACCAAATCAGACCCAATGAGATAGTGTTGTCTAAGTCCCATAGAAGTAATCTCCTTACGACCATTTTCAAATCCTCATTCAAACAAATTCTCCCCATTCGGAGACCTAGCACCTTCAGAAGTAAGCTGAGCTAGGAACACATTTTGCTCTGCTCCAAATGATCCTAAAATAAGAAACGCTATCACAAATATTTTCATAATTTGCCTTAAATACTGTAAAAATGTTAGAGTATTAAATTTCAACAAAACCTATCCAAAAAGGGGTTTTGGGGTTTTGGGGTTTTGGGGTTTTGGGGTTTTGGGGTTTTGGGG